GTACGCCCACTAACGCCCAGTGAGCACTACTTCATCTTATTATCCTATTTTATCTTATCTATCTTGCTGTATCTTATTTCATCTTATTTTATCTTTACAAATGCTTTGTAACTGCAACTAGATACTCGAGGGGGAAACCGCTGACCAAAATCTTGTACGCCAATGCCCACTAATGCCCAGTGAGCACTACTTCATCTTATTATCTTATTTTATCTTATTTATCTCGCTGTACCTTATTTCATCTTATTTTATCTTTACAAATGCCGATGTAACCGACGCTCGCGGTGTTCGCCGGGAAGTGTTTGCTCCACGGCGCGACCGCGGGCCCTCGTCTCGCAGATTCAGCGCTCGAGAGAATTTAAGCGCGACTGCTCGCCGGATTAATCGCTCACACGAGTTTAAGCGCGCGAGTCCAACGAGAAGTTTCCGATAAACGACGCTAAATGACGCAAAATCGGAGAAGCGTTCTCGTCGAGGAGGGAGAAAAAAAGAAGTTTTCCTTCCCCCGCATCTATCACGATTTAGCCGATCTCTCCGCGCGTATAGGCGAACAAATCGAGTGTATCAGCTCGAGTTGCCGGGCCATTTGTCATTTCATTACAACGGGAGGGAGGGAGGGAGAAAGACGAAGGGATCGTCCACCTACGCCGCGCCGCGTCGGCGCGGAAGACGGACGAGAAGGCGCGCTCGGTCAACCAGGCTGCGCCTGGGTGATTTGTCAGGGCGTCCCATGCGTATATTATCGCGTCGTGCTCGCAGCTCGGCGCCCGGATGCGATTTACGCTCGCCCGCGAAATGCCCACACACCGGGAGTAAACGATATGCAATACTCACGTCGGCACGACGCAATGGCGGCTGCGCTGTTGATCCACGCCCGCCGGGGTCGCCGCTCCGACGCTCCGAAGTCCAGCGTCCGGTGCCGCTCCGACGTCGCCGTCACCTCGAGACTCGAGACGGCCGCGCGACGCAACACACCCGATTACTTGCCGATTACGTTCGCCCCGCAGCCGCGGAAAAGGCGAAACGACGGGGACGACGCGCGACGCGTGCCCCCCGAGCCTGGCGTCGCTGCACTGTGCGCCGGGAAGCGTCCGCCCATTAGCGGCTCACTTCAGCGCGTTCGCGCGCTTTTCGCCTCGACAGTCGCCGCCATGTTGGTTCACTTTTGGCGGGATCGCCGCTCCGACGCACTAAGGCCGGTATTCATAGTCGATTCTTATTTCAAAATCATCTTGAGTGTTGTCTTAAGAAGCTAATGCGGCTCTGCGATTGGTTAAGAACACATTAAGAGTATACTTAAGATGATCTTAAATATAAGAACGGACTATGAATACCGGCTTAAGGCCTTAGGCCGGTACCGACAGAGTCGCATACAGTTTTTGCGTTTGTAAATCTTATTGTTGGCACTTGTGTACAAAATAATACCAGACCGGATCGTGGACTGCATAGTAGAACATTTTCATATAAAAAACATTGAGGTTTGAAGTCTAATTCGTATCGCATTGTGTATTTCAATTTGAAAATTTTCAAATACATAATGCGATACGAATTAGACATCGAACCTCAATGTTTTTTATATGAAAATGTTCTACTATGCAGTCCACAATCCAGTCTGGTATTATTTTGTGCACAAATGCCAATAATAAGATTTACAAACGCAAAAACTGTATGCGACTCTGTCGGTAAGTCAAACCTGGTTAAAAACACATTAAGAGTAGGTACACTTAAGATGATCTTAAATGTAAGAACGGACTATGAATACCGGCTTAAAGCCAACGGCACACGATACTATTTTTCCTGCTGGATTGTTTACGAGAACCAATAAGGATGCAGAGTTTTAAATCAGATGACTTGAGGCTGAGTCCTGATTGGCTCTCGTAAGCAATCCAGTAGGAAAAATAGTATCGTGTGCCGTTGACTTAAGTAAAGCGAAAACTCTGCTGTTTTCGAACAGGTGACTCAAGGCTGAATCCTGATTGGTTCTCGTAAGCAATCCAGTAGGATTGATCGCTTTCCGATTGCGTGCGCCTCGCCGCGAAAAACGCGGAGCAACGCGCGACGCGCGCCCGAAACGTAACCCAAGCGCCCCAAGAAAAGCTTGACCGCCGTCAAGCTGCCGCTACAAACGCTTCGAAGTTTCCTCTCTTTTCTTTCAATAAAGACAGCAGGAGAAGAGAAACGGAAGCATTCGTAGCGACAGCTTGACTGCAGCTCCGGTGTGTTATCATTTTACCCTTGTTCAACGTCACATGTTGCTTCAAACGTTATTTGAAGCACGCCATTTGCGCGGGGAAGTGATCACTAGTACGAAAATAAGACTAAGGCAAGCTTCGCTTGTTAGAAACAAACGGAAGCAGACCCGGAAAATTAAAGAAATACAAAGAACATTGTAATAACATTTAAAAATGTAATAGAGATTCGAGAGACGAGGCTGCAGAATTTCGCGCACATTTTACGCCTCGGTTTATTGTAATCCTTATCGAGCGATAAAAATATAAATAGGAGCGTGCGTTTGCGAAAAGTAATAAATGATCGGCGAACAACACCTTCCTCGAGCGCGCATTACAAAACCGATATTGACATCCGTGCAATAGTCGAAGAGAGATACTCGCGGTATCTTTGCCTTCAGACGGCAACGTCCAAGAGGACAGACAAGCAGCGGTCGTTCGCGCGAAGATGAGATGCCCGGCTCGCGAAGATCAACCCTGACTAACCACTGCTCTTGCGATTCGGAGCAATTTATCACGGTCGAGCGACAGCTGAAAGCTTCTACGACATTACTCAGGGACTTTCTCTCTGTTTTCTCCCACTCTTTCTCGCCCCCGCCGCTTTTTTGCCCTCGCCGGACGGATTTCATTCGCAACTCCGATGTAGTAAGCCGACAAGGTGTATAGCCGCGAGATCATTACTCCGGAATTATCCGAATGCCCATAACTTCTCCTCGCTAAAACTCCGGCTCGCGGGGCCGAAATTCCGACTGGGGGAATTCCAGCGGCATTTTCGGGATTTCTCCGCTATTCGGCGGTTACCCCGCGCCCGTAGTTATCTCGCTTCGTGGCCTACCTTGCATATCAGTAGGGGATTACGCGGGTACACGGGTCTGCGTTTCGCGTCGCCTCGGTTGCACGCGGTCGTCCGGCTATCTAGGGGTATAATAATTTGAGGATGAACTGTTGCAAAGCCATTGGAAGTTGATCCGCGCTACATAAACACGCCTGCGTTATATTGAAATAGTTACCGCTGAACTATGTTAATATCTCTTATCCCCCGACTTGAGCCTGCGCTACTCTCAGTTTTCTATCGTGGCATTTAACCGCGTTAAATGACACGTCCCGCGGAGTCCCCGTGTTGCTTTGTTTGGAATGTCCAAGTGAATTATTCGCGATGGCGTAGAAAAAACCTCTTTAGAGCATTAACTTCTTCTTCGCAGGGTGAGCGTGCGGTTTTATTAAGCCATCCTTTATTCGCCGCGAGAGTAAAACCACTACCGCTCCACTTGGAGAGCCCCTCCAAGTAGTTTTTGCCTGGACGTAATTGGCAAGCCATTATCTATAACAAAGACATTACTGGATTTTCTGTCTATTCGGACAATTCGGTTAATTGAATTGGATCGACTCGAATGGGCGATGTTAAATTGGAAAGTTAATGAAATATACGAGAGAACAGGAATTAATTTACGTCAAAGGATATGACATTTTTGCGGCGTGTGTGCGTAGTGTTTGTATAGATTTAAATGTAATTTTAACTCACTTTGATAAATTGAATATTAAATACTTGGGAAATATCTTGAATATTTAGGAGCGGATGTGTCGCGAAGTAGTTCATTCGGTACGTCTAAATATATTTCTAGATAAAATTTTAACATTTTATACGTAATGCATATTTTCATCGCATAAATATAATTTTAATACAATTCTCGTTTATTACGTGCACGTATATGATTTTTGTCAGAAAGGGAAAATTGAAAATTAAGGCTAATAAAATTTCTGGCGGTAACGTTAACGTTTTTAATAGAAGCATATTTTCAGCAAACAAGCGAATATTAATAAGCGCGCGTGCTTTAATTAATATTCCTCAATCACCTGACTATTACACGACTTTAGCAGACGATTTACGATGGTGAAATAATTTGATACAATGAAATTCCATTATTAATTCTAAATTTGTTGGGAAAACCGTACGGAACCAGGCCCGAGTGAGACTGGAGAAATACGGGCCTTCTCCATGGTCTGCGCTCTGTACACTGCCCAACCTGCCGATCGCATACGGGCTTTCGCTATTGGTCTGTACAAGATTCTTTCTCACGGGCCTTCTCCATGGTCCGCGCTCTGTACCCTACCCGCCTACCGAATCTGCCGATCGCATATGGACTTTCGCTATTGGTTCGTACAAGATTCTTTCTCACGGGCCTTCTCCATGGTCCGCGCTCTGTACCTGCCGAACCTGCCGATCGCATACGGGCTCTCTCGATTGGTCCCCGCTTGACATGCAGGCCTCCCCATTGGTCCGTACAATCTCGGCTCTCTCCATGGTCCGCACTTTTGTATGAAACGAGCTCGTCTCTGAATCGCACGTTGTTGGCGTTGTTGCCTCTGTGAGTTGCGTATGTACGTGCGTGTGTCGTGAGTCGCGCAAATGGCACCATCCCGCCTGTAATAAGGACCTGATTGTGATAGCCTTATAAGGAAACAGCGTTACATGCTTACTCGGGTCCTGATAAAGCAATAGTATCAGGTCCCGACAGCTAAATCAGGCAAAGTTTCACCATAGTTCATTTCTGCAAGAAAGCAAAACTACAATTTATGACTACATCAATGTGGGTACGACAGCTACGGATATAGGCTGTTCCAAATATTACTATTTATTGGGGTTGTGCCAACCCTAATTAGACATGTAACCATATCGGTCTCTCCGTGTAAATAAAAATATCAATCTTTTATACGTTACTGATTGTGTCATAAGTGCAAGTAAATAATGTACGCACAATATTTTTGTTTCAGGCTGAAATATGGAGCGTCTTTATTGCGATTCTGCGAAAAAGCGTCAGAAACTTGCAAGCATGTACGGATGTGAGTCTCATAGAACATGTTCTGCATCGATTATCTCGTGCGGAAACTGTTGTCGCCGGTAAGTAAATATTTCAAACGAAACATTGGATCTGTTCTTTATAGATGGACTGGCTGCACTAGATCTTCTTCTAACGTAGACGGGAAAAGGTAAACTCTGAACTAGTGCAGGCAGTTGAACTATAAAGAACTAAACCAATACAATACGTTCATTATAATAAAGCCTAATCTACAATGTGTCTTCTGCGTCTAGAAACATTCTAATTTATACAAACAAATCGAAACGCTTAAAAAATTTGTCAACGATGCACGATTATACAATGTATAATATACAATTTATCCACTTGCGCAAATTTCTTAACCGTACTTATTGGCTACAAAATAGAATGTTTCTAGACGCAGAGGGCACATTGTAGATTAGGCTTAAATCGAAAGAAATTGAATTTGCAACAGCGCGACAAGAATGTGCAACAGAATTCTCGCCATAGAGATGACATTAATTATGTATCTTGCAATTAGAATCTTGCTACCTTTCTCTCGTCTAACCAGTTGTATCATTTAATTATATTAGATGATTAATATCTTAAATATCTTTTGCATACTGCGACAGATTTGTTAATCGATATGCTGGGAGTGCTGGCGAGCTACAGCATAACGGTGAAAGAATTGAAACTTTTGTTCGGCGCCATGAAATCCGTAAAAGGAAAGTGGGTAAGCAATTTTAAGATTTAATTAGTTTCTCTTAATATTGCAAATGCATTGAATCGGATAAATATCGCGAGAATATTTATTCGATAGATGTATTGAGGTGCCCTGAGATTACTAAAGCATTTACGTTTTATAGCCACGGCATTCGGCGAAACTGTTAAACGTCCTCCGCCAAATGCCGCAGCGAAATGGGCCCGACGTATTTTTCAGTTTCCCCGGTAGGAAGGGGTCGGTAAGTTCTTTTCTTGTTCGCGTCTTTATCTTAGAACAGATACTTCTTACTTTACGACATCCCAGAGGACGTCGTTCGATTCTAAACTCGATCAAAGTTCCGATAAAAGAATTTACCCCGTGTCGCGAGATGCCGCTATCCGCTTACATTTTCGAAATCAATCACGGTACGAAACTTTCCTGAACGGTATTACCGCGTGTACATTAAATCAATACGTGCTTACGTGTGGAAGTGTCCGAGTTTTTCAATTTAAATTGAAGCAATACGAATAGTTACTGTATATTTCATATATAATGCTTATCTAATGTAGTTTTTCTTACATAAAGGACAGGGAAAAAGTTTCGCGAACGAGGAGACTTTATAGCGTTTAATAAGTAGCACTAAAGTTAACGTTTTTCGTCATCCAAGTACTAATTTCTTCTTCTAATTGTATCAGAAATGACACTTGACGTAGTTTGTATAATCTTGACGAAGTTTCCAAACTAAAGTTATAAGCCGTTCTACTTATTATAAGACGTACTGTGCTCATTAATGCATCGAGCAACAATGTATAGCGATCATCTTTTTTCTTTATTCTCGCTTTATATCCGAACCAATTGTATACTGGAAAAAACCACGCGCATACAGAATTGCAGTTGAATGCAAACTAATATCAATAATAAGCGTACCGTTGTAATTCTGGCTTTTCACTTTATATGTAGTAACATTACGACGCTCCGAAATAGCATGTGCATAATTAATTTAATTATTTATGCAGTTTGGAGTTTGTCGGAGTTTTTCGAAAAGCTCGTTGGAGAGTAAAAGCCTATTACATAAAGCGTGACAAATATTGTATATTCGTTAATGCAGATAGGATAAAATAATATTTGCGATATACAGTTAGAGAGACTCGAAACTAAAATTGAAGTCGAAATTACGTGCTGCGTGCGTACAATTTCCATTATACATCACTAACGCTGGTAATATCTACTTTACTTACGCGTTGAATATCAAGGGAGCGTAGGAAGGGATAATACAACAGAACACGATGAAGAATTGAAGTCCAATTAAAAATCGCCAATATTAAATTCAATATCCGCGCGATCGGGTTAAATTATGTGGAATAGCTTGACGAGAATATTTTCACCTCCTTTGGTTTCCTCTGCAGGCGATTGTTTTGCCGCCGCTTGCAAAGTGGCCGCACGAGAATGGATTTACCTTTACCACATGGTTCCGCCTAGATCCCATCAACTCTGTTAATATCGAACGAGAAAAACCGTACCTCTACTGGTAAGTGCTCTCACATCAAGCACCCTCGCGAAAGTACTCTCGCCAGGTGAAGCGGCGGCCTTAAAGAATCACCTATGTTTCTCAACTACGAAGAAAGCACTCAAACATTCCAATTGAACTCATTAAATGTGATTTCGTTTGGTGGCGTACATTTGGCGCAGGGACGATTACATTTTTATGTCTCGCATTTCACCCTAAATTTACCCGCGCAGAAATAATTGTATATAAATAATGTTTTAATCGTATCATCTTCGCTGCGTCTTTCGAATTGTATTTTCTTATCTCAAAATAACCGTACGGAGCATTGCAAGGGGAGATACGAGCAAAGTAGTTGAACGATAGAAAATAACATTGCTCTTTCGTTTTAGCTTTAAAACAAGCAAGGGAGTGGGATACTCTGCGCATTTCGTAGGCAACTGCTTAGTCCTGACTTCTATGAAAATAAAGGGCAAGGGCTTCCAACATTGTGTCAAATACGAATTTCAGCCACGAAAGGTATGCTATTGAATATATTTTTAGAGAGTGTATAGGAAACACGCTGTACGTTGAAAAAAATCTGTATTTTACAGTGGTATATGATCGCGGTAGTGTATATATACAATAGGTGGACAAAAAGTGAAATTAAATGTCTGGTCAATGGCCAGTTGGCGTCGAGTACGGAAATGACATGGCACGTTTCGACGAATGACGTGAGTGTCCGCACAAACATTTTTTTCTTTTTAATATCAATATCAAAATCGTCTCTCGTTAATGAGGATTTGAGGGGAAATAAATGGTAACGTCGTTTTACAGCCATTTGACAAATGTTACATTGGAGCAACCCCCGAACTGGACGAAGAGCGCGTGTTTTGTGGACAAATGAGTGCGATATATTTATTCAGCGAAGCACTAACGACGCATCAGATATGCGCGATACATAGACTGGGGCCGGGATATAAGGTACGCTGTAATCTCTCTCTGTCTCTGCTATACGTGTATATATCTTGAGTTTAAACACGGGTATTTTTCCACTTTTTACTCGAACGAATACTTATCGTCGCTATTTCGATCCGTGCGCAGAGCCAGTTTCGTTTCGACAACGAGTGCTACCTGAATCTGCCCGACAATCATAAAAGGGTGAGTGAGCAGGATCTCTCTACGAGCATGGTGGACCAAAGTATGCAAATTGTAAGCATTTTGATTTTATTTTCCCGTTAACATATGATTTGTACTTTGTTAATTATTCTGTTACTGCGTTCGAGCTCATCTGAGGTAATTACCCAATTACGATCACCGATCTCTCTTCGCGGCTGCTGCGACCGATAAGTTTGTCGATTCGTTTGATACCATTTATTTTGGAAAAATCGATTTACCGACGACTATCGATCTTACGTCACATCTGTTATATCAATAATCTATGTATTTTTGTGTGCATCTTATTTCTTCTATTATTTTTCTCTTCTTTACTGGATGCTTATCTTTCTTAATCGACGAATGTCGCAGATCGAACTAAGTAATATGCAAAGTACTTATTTTTGTAAGCATCGCTTTACATATATGTCGTATAATTTATTGATACGGTTTAATTTGACGCTAATAGGTACCCTATTTGGTAGTAAGTAGCAGTATAATTTAGGGAGTAGCGTTGAATTATTGATTATTGCTTTCGAGTATGTGTTTTCTGTGTATTTATATTATGTAGTTAGTACCCAGAAGATGTATACCCTGGGTGAGATTGAATAATGGTAGTGCATTTACCTTGATGTCATAGTAATATATTGTAAATTATTCACAATAAATATTGAAAGTCTCCCGCGCGGCTGGCCAACAATTTTATTAATTTATTATTTTATATGTAATATTTCAGGTACTTTATGACGGAAAATTGTCGAATGCAATTGTGTTCATGTACAATCCAGTAGCGACAGATTCGCAGCTTTGTCTACAGAGCGCACCGAAAGGCAACGTCTCTTATTTTGTACATACTCCGCATGCCCTCATGTTACAGGTATAGTTTATTGTTGCTACTCAACAGAGATAGACTCAATACTAGATACGTAGAATTACCTGCGCTTTTTATTTACTTGTAAACGATATACGTAGAATAAAGTCGCGGCGTAACGCATAAGACAAAACTATGAAATAGGTAAGAAACTTTTATTGTTGGCTTTCAGGATGTCAAGGCGGTCATAACACACTCCATTCACAGCACGTTAAACTCGATAGGTGGTATCCAAGTACTGTTCCCATTATTCTCACAGCTGGACATGCCTTACGACTGCATTGCGCCGAACGACATTAAGCGAGATCCCACATTATGGTAAAAGCTTATTCATAGTTACCACTTTTTTTTTCCTACAAAGCCACGTGCTTAAGTAGAGAGCATCAGCGAGAAACATCGACGTCATTTTTCTTTTTCAGTTCGAAACTGCTCGGGTTTATCTGCGACTTGGTAGAGAGTTCTCAAACCGTTCAACAACATATGGTACAAAACAGAGGATTTCTGGTGATAAGTTTTATGCTACAGAAAGCAAGTCGAGATCATCTTACGACGGAAGTTCTTGCATCTTTCTTGGAGCTCACGAAGCATTTAGTGACCTGTCTTAGCGCAAACAGCGATTTATTACTTAAACAGGTACCGATCTGCTAACAAATTATTATTTACTAACTTTCTATTAGACGTAGTAATATGACAAATATATCGTTAATATATAGATATTTATATGCAGTTGAGATAATTGCATTTTTCATTGCACTCGTTCGGCTTAATTTAACGGCTTAAAAGAATACATTAAATCTTTTTACTTATAACTTTGGTACGTGATATTTTATGCAATTTGCAATTATCTTAGCTGACGATAATATAAGACACTTACATATTAGATTTAGAAGAGTTGGAGTGTAAAAATTAAAAACCCTGTAATATTAAAATTAGGTAAAATAATTTCCACAATAGATTAAAAATGACTGATAGAAAAAGTGAAGTTATCAACTATTGTAGATGAAACGAATTTAGTCACATAGTAACATTTATTTTAGTTAAATACTAACGAAAGAGTATTATTTGCTCATTGGTTGTTGATTAAGTTCCTGGAGAATCGCTAACTCTTCGTTCGTGCATACCTAGCTACATGTATCTTCTCATCTTCAGATGATTTCATTTGCCTGCACACGCATGGATTATGTTCAATTTGGTTCAATTTCGTTAAAATGTCAATATCCATGCATCCCATTCCTTCAATTTGCGTTATCATCTCTGCTATGTAATGTAATAGCTTCCACGCTTTAATCGCAATTGCTCCTGTCAAAATGTTTGCAAATACCCTGTACGTGTGTATTAATGTATATGTTTAATATTCATTTTCCTACCTTTGAGATTTCGTTAAAGGCTTTTCAACAAGTCTATTGTGAGCATGTCTACTCATCTTCTTCGATCATTATTGTGTTATCCGGACTTCGGATCGCATGCAATCTACCGACTTTTGAGCTTCCTGATTTGATACAAGTGGCTACGCAAAGTATTTTGTTCGTAATGTCGCTTTCACGTCAAAAATTTATAATTCTTATTTTGTGACGCTGAGAATCTTCGTCTGCTATATCATAAGGAGTTGTGTTTTTCTGTCTTTAAATATGCACTGCCATCAAAATCCTGTTACACGGCATATTATTTTCGATTACGCACAGGTTTTCCAGAGGCATAATTCTATTACTTAAATACTAATCATACATTTAATACATGTTCGATTTGTTTGCAGTTTAATATGAATAATGTAATATTAATACACGCTATTAATACAAAATCAATGCATTTCTTGTGGCTAAACACATCTTGTATAAAACGAAATAATTGCAATATTATTAATTGTGTCAAATCAATAGCCTTTTACAATTTTCAGAATATACATATATTTATATGCATTTGCACATTCTAAATTTATGTTTTTGATATTATTCCTCGGGTTTTTTCCCAATCAGTATAAATGCACGAACATTCATTTGCACTTGTTTCGTAGTTATCTAAATTATCACGCAATTATTGTTGTTTGCAACAGCAGTACTCTCTGCACTTTATCAAACCTCACTTCAATCGTACGTTTAATAATTCGTGTTTCATATTTGTGCATTGTTTTTTTTCCATATAGAAAGTTTTTTTTGTTATATTTAAAATATCATATCCAATAATCTCGTTAATTATTGCGTATGTTTTTTTACATCGTACCCACAAGTATCAATTGTTAAAATTGAAAAATACAATAAATCGGAATAAACAAAGTAAACAAATTTCAATATATTTAAATGACAAACGGACTCTAGATAACTACATCGTGCAAATTACGTTAATACAAATCAAGATAATAATATATAGCTCAGAAAGATATAAAAGTCGGCTAGATTGGTGTGTCCGAAGAACAGGCAGATCCATGGTGATGTAGTTGTTTTATTTTTCATTCCTAACATGGCAGCTACTGGATCACGTTCTTTTTAATCCCGCTCTGTGGATATACACGCCGGCGCCAGTACAAACACGGCTTTATTCGTACTTGGCCACAGAATTTCTTAGCGACACGCAAATTTATTCCAATGTGAGACGCGTATCGACGGTCCTGCAAACCGTACACACACTGAAATACTATTACTGGGTAGCTAATCCTCGCTCCAAAAGCGGAATAACACCAAAAGGACTCGGTACGTTCAGCCAGTTAACATTAGCAATGCAAATTCATCTGAAACGTACCAAATGTAACGCCTTATACGTAAATTTATTTTCTCCCAGATGGACCGCGACCGCAACAGAAGGACATTCTAGCAATTCGTTCTTACATTTTGTTATTTTTAAAACAATTGATAATGATCGGCAACGGCGTGAAGGACGATGAATTACAGAGCATACTTAATTATCTCACGACGATACACGAGGTAATATTAAATAACGATATAAAAGTGATCAATGCGTGTCCTTCAAATTCTGCGACCACTTTTAGGATGAAAATTTGCACGATGTCTTACAAATGCTGATATCTTTGATGTCGGAGCACCCGTCGTCGATGGTACCCGCATTTGATGCGAAACAAGGAGTACGGACGATTTTCAAGCTTTTGGCAGCTGAAAGCCAATTGATACGTCTGCAAGCGTTAAAACTGCTTGGATTCTTCCTTAGCCGCAGTACACATAAGTGAGTGATTCTTCGCGAGTAAGGATAATTCGTACGATTAAAAAATATCTTTTAATGATTATAATGCCGCTTAATGCCCGCAGACGAAAATACGACGTCATGAGCCCGCATAATCTGTACACGTTATTGGCCGAAAGGCTCTTATTGAACGAGGAGACACTCTCATTGCCGACATACAATGTTTTATACGAGGTATCGAGCTTTTATTTCTAAAGTAATATTTGTGGATGAAATTATTACTCCATATTTATAATTTCAGATCATGACTGAGCACATCAGTCAACAAATATTGTATGCCAGACACCCCGAACCTGAATCTCATTACCGTTTAGAAAATCCGAGTAAGCTGAGAATTTATAGTGAATTTACAGAATTGACGGCGAGACCCAACTACGCTTTCCACGTACTAAACCAATATCCCTTTCAGTGATCCTGAAGGTAGTCGCGACGTTAATTCGACAATCAAAGCAAACGGAGCAGCTGTTGGAGGTGAAAAAGCTATTCCTCTCGGACATGACGCTACTCTGCAATAATAATCGGGAGAATCGGCGAACCGTCCTGCAAATGTCTGTGTGGCAGGAGTGGCTTATCGCCATGGCTTACATCCATCCGAAGAACACCGAGGAACAGAAGATATCCGACATGGTGTATTCCTTATTTCGCATGCTTCTTCATCACGCTATCAAGCACGAATACGGTGGCTGGCGTGTCTGGGTTGACACACTGGCTATCGTGCACTCTAAGGTGAGCTCGCGAGGTACCGTCGACTCGAGACAACGCTTAACGCTCTTATTGACCTGCCCAGGTGTCGTACGAGGAATTCAAACTTCAATTTGCCCAAATGTACGAGCATTACGAACGACAGAGATCCGACAACATTACGGATCCTGAGCTGAGGCAGCAGAGGCCGATCAGCACGATTTCCGGATGGGATCAGCAGCATTCCGGCAATAACGGGTACAATAGACCAGTGTGGGGGAATCAGCAAAATCACGAGATCCAACATATGGAGAGAAATTACAAGGTGCTTTCAGAAATAGAATTTTATTCTGATAACTGTGTTATTCTTTGTACTTAACAATTTTTTACTTACGAATCTCAATATTTTTTGTCAATTTACGATAATTCATTCATGATTTCGAACAGTTTAACATATTTACCTCAATAACATGTTGTATTGTGACACAGGAATTTGATTCATCCGAGGCAAACGATCGATTGGAAGAATCCTGCAGCTGCGATCTTAATTCAATAGACAACACTGAGAGCGACGGTAGTCCGGCTATCGTGAAATCGCGCAGCGAGACCTTGGACACACTGCAATCGTGCGAGGTGGTGTCGTTGGACTCCAGATTAAGCGACAAACCGGAAACACCGACTACCGCGCGCGAGATACACACGGAGACGCCGACGATTCTCGAAGAAGCAAACAGTGAAGCTGTCTCGTTGCCGACAACGCAAGAGACTAGCGAGGTGATATCAATCGAGAGCTCCAGCGACTTTTACAGCGAGGTGCACAAGATCGAGAGTTCTAGTCCCGATTCAATGATAGTTCAGGAGTTGAAGAAGGAGGAAGATACGGTTGTTGAGAAACAGTCAGTTGCCGTTACCGAAGCCTCTTCAACGGAACAGATTAAAGAAGAAGGCACGGAAGCGACGGCTGTCGAAGCCACAGACTCGAAGGAAGCTGTGACAGATACAAATATCCCCGACACAGTTTCCACAGCGGACAAGGTTGAAACCTCACCGGTCGCGGATGAGGAAGCGAAGGCAAAGTCCACCGAGGAGAATAACGTTGCGACCGCCGACAGTAACACACCGACCAACACCGAAGATTCCGACAAGACTGCAACAGCAATCGAAAATGCGGCCGACCCTGTTACTCCAAAGGGCGCTGCCGACGCCGACGCCGACGCCGACGCCAACGCCGACGCCAACGCCGACGCCAATGCCGACGCCGACGCCGACGCCGGCGCCGATGCCGACGCCGACGCCGTCACTGAAAAAGACACCGTGCCAATTGTCCCTTCTGACGAAACGCGGGAACCGCTGACGGTCAAAGTGATTGAGAAGCTCCAGTTGGAGAGCGATCGCGAGATAATTGATAGCGATACGTCGGAGGCGTACTTGACGCCAACTGAGAATCAAGAAATCTCGAGCGAGATAAAAAGCAGAACGTCCGAGGGCGAGAAAATCGACGACGACACCGTCGATAAGAAGGACATTTCCGAAGACAGGGACATTACCGCTGAGACTGGCGAGAACGACGCAGGGAAAACTGTAAAAAATCCTAATTGCTCAACTAGCATAGTAGAAAGCGGTGAGGCTTGCACGGAGAAGGCGGTAGATCTAGGGAGCGAGAAGGTGGAGCCCGTAATAGTGAATAGTGCGTTAGGTAGTGACGACCGCGCCGTGGATTCTTTAACGGAGGACAAAAGTGCTGTTATTAATGATAACGAAGACGCGAAGGTAAACGAGAAACACTCAAGGGAGCCGTCCACTATTTCTACTAGCGTAAGTGATAATAAGTCAGACGTTCCGGCGACGACTGGCGAGGTAGAAGTTACAGATAGTGTTTGTAGTAATAGCGATGTTCAAAGTTCTGTAGATAATGTGACGCAAGTGCCAAATCCTAAGCAGCAAATCCCAACAATATCTACGGTCTGTGATGCAACTAAAAGTTTATCCGACGGTGTGCCTCAAATCGTTAGTTCTAATGTGGTTGCCAGGGACAATGCGTTATTGAATGACTTAACTCCAGATCACGTAGACACCCACCGCAGATCCAGCCTGCCGAACGTCTCTTCGGAAACGGTTGCGGACGATAACGGTCACGAGTCACCCTCCTTGCCTGTGCCCTTACGAAAGACATCGTCACCCCAGAAACGACCAAGGAGTGCCTCTACGTCCACGCAGGTGGATCCTAATCATTTCGGTAAGAAAGTGGGAAATAATTTTATGCACGTTTATTTTATTAACAAAGCTACCACTGTATTTCTATGTATTCTTTTCACCGCAGAAGCCAAAAGATCGAAGCAAGGAAATCCCTCCACGCGGCCAATGTTCAGTCCAGGCCCCACACGACCTCCATTCAGAATACCAGAATTTAAATGGTCATACATACATCAACGGCTGCTGTCGGACGTGCTATTCTCTTTGGAAACGGATATTCAAGTGTGGAGAAGGTAGGATATGCGGTGCTGCACACACATGTATGTTGGCGATAATTTCGTCGAAATATTCTACAATAATTTCTCTATTACAGTCATTCAACGAAGTCTGTACTGGATTTCGTAAACAGCAGCGAAAACGCCATTTTCGTGGTGAACACTGTCCATCTAATTTCACAGTTAGCCGACAATCTCATAATAGCTTGCGGCGGTTTGTTGCCCTTATTAGCATCGGCTACTTCGCCAAATGTAAGATACCATTTTGCTATACGCGATTAAAGGAGAAAATACTATAAAATAATAGAATTTGCGATTCTAATTTCTAATCAATGCCTGAATGCTTTTCTAGAACGAACTGGACGTAATCGAGCCAACTCAGGGGATGCCAATCGAAGTGGCAGTTTCTTTTTTGCAAAGACTGGTCAACATGGCCGACGTACTTATATTCGCTAGTTCGTTAAACTTTGGAGAACTGGAGGCTGAGAAAAATATGTCGAGCGGCGGCATATTACGACAATGTTTACGACTGGTTTGTATTACTGCTAGAAGTATGTATTTTGCGGGTATAGAATGAGATGGTGAACCTCGTTAGCATAGTTAGAGATAGTGATACTTTCATACAGAGTTTATATGAGTAAACGATTTTAACAAACTATTTGTTGATTTAGGAAAATATATTGACTATTAGTCAATTAGTGCACAGTGTGTGTGTTTAATTTATGCACTTGACGGAATATAGTATTTATGATATATCAAGTTCAGTCTAGAAAGAAACGTAAAAATATTGAAATCAAGAATTTTTTTTATAATAGTTCTGCTTTCCGCAATGTCGTGCTACATGTTACATGTGCAATTAATTTTTAATGAGAAATACGATTCCTATAGAAATACTTAAATTAGATGATATACGATAAAAATGCAATTGCAACAGTAGTGTGTTACATTTTTATGTATGTTTATTTTAGTGAGAATATATACATAATATTTATGGCATGCACATGTCGGACTATACAGTACAGACACGTAAAAAATACAAAATGTAGCATGTAAAATTTCCTCTATGTAAGAGAAAAACTAAACTTTTTGTTTAATATAAAATACAATAAACAAAATCTTTACAAATGATTATGAAAGAAAAAATTACACTTTAAAGAAACTTCAATATTTTATCTATCAGAACTCGATATGAAAAATTGACAAGTTCATAGTATCGAACGTATCATTTACAATTCCAGTTTCCGAAATGTAAGGTGCAGTCAATTCAAGTGTTGTTAGCATTGACATATGTCCCAGTTAGAAATTTAATATGTACATCCACACAACATCTTTTGTTGTATTTACCTAATAAACTGCTTCTATAGGTCTGTACATGTGCCGTTAGAAACTGCTTAGAGTGTAAAGAACGTGGCAGATCGTACAGCATGTTAGGTCGGCAGATTGGTTCTAGTAATAAATCACAGCACATACAATCACTTATACGCGGGGCTCAGACATCGCCTAAGGTACGTTCTCTTCGATCAGACTCACTTTAATGTAACATTATTAATAGACGCAGCACATTATATTTTTTTTCCTACAATTTTCATTTGTTAAAGCAGAAACATTTTATTTGTAGCTACTAATATTTCCCATAGTGTATTGAGATGTTTCTTATTTATAGAACATCGTGGACAACCTTACGCATCAGTTAAGTCCTGTGAAGGATCCCGAGAAATTGCTGCAAGACATGGACGTAAATCGTTTGAGAGCTGTCATATACAGAGATGTTGTAAGTATACGTTATTTCGTAACGATAAAATAAAATAATCATGTGTGTATACAAAAGGCAGGAATATTAAATCACATGTACGTTAATTTCAGGAAGAAGCCAAGCAGGCACAGTTTCTGTCCCTTGCTATAGTTTACTTCATCTCTGTATTGATGGTCTCGAAATATCGCGACATATTGGAACCGCCAATATCGCAACGCCCACCAAGTCCAGTGCAAACGATACAGACAAATGGTGCGGGTCTCAGGCCAGGTAGCCCTTCAGGTGAGATCCTTGTATCTTACTGGCATCACTAACACTAATGCAAAAGAGTAAATCTGTGTGCATATCGATACACAAGATTTACTAAAAATAAATTTACTTTTAATTAATATAATACGACATGAGTAATTAAATATGATATTACAATTTACGAATAATTACATTACAAAATACCTAGCGAACTTGACGACGTTTAGAGATGTCTTAAAGGCGTATTATTAACGTCAGAGACGTCAGTAAAACGTTATTAGTACGTCATTTGACGTTATCATGTTTGCTGGGTATGTACGCTAGCTTTGCAAAAAGTTATTGTTTTTACCATAGACGATTTCTACAACTCGTCTATTACTAGGTATGCACTCTGCAAAGAACTTATAAATTATTTTAAAAAATAATGCAATAATATATACTATTTTCTGTTGATATAACATGGTGTGCTCTTATAATCTAAAATTTAAAAACGTTTATTAACCATTTGATATTTATAATTGTGTTTATTATATCATCGCCTATTGTTAGAGAAGAAATTATTAACAAATAATTTAAAAATGTACTAATTTTTATATTATGATTTGCACGTTGAATACTCATTTGCGTAACACTTCCCTAAAAGAATAAAAATTTTTTTAAGAATTCTTCTGTTTACTCAAAACTCTTATGTGTCAGATATATATTATCTTATCTTTCATTTTAAAGGTTATAATATATGAATAAATTCAATTCAATTTGTAAATTAATTAACCATTTCCGATACTATAGCATGACTGCAGCTATATAAATGTATGAAAGAAAAATGGACAATGTATCTCTCCTAAAAGATATTCTATCTGCTTACTGTTTAGAAAGAAATTGATATCTTTTCGAAATTTTAATATTGGTACATTGCTGCTGAAAAATTATTATGCAAATTTTTTAAGCTTTGAACAGCGGAGTAACTGGCTAAAACATTTTCTGTCATAACGATGTTGTAAACGAATGAAATATGATGAATGTTATAAATAGCATATATTATATGTACAGATATGTAGCTAATGTGTTTAACACTGTGCACCAAACGATGTAGCTGCAACTAAGACAACAGCACATGACACCAAGTAGAACGCATGTGTTATTGCACTGTATGAAGTAAACATTTTATATGTATCTGACAGTGAGAGTTTTGATGTTTGCCGAATGTGTCTGCACTTTTTTGCGTTACAAATATACTTACGCCGTTATATTATTGTTGTTGTGTTCTCTTGGATGTGGAACTTCTTTATGTGGAAAATTGAAAAGGGAACAGATATTTTTATGATTGTGTTGCTGTACGATTAATATTTAAATGTTTAATCAATCAAGAAATTTTATGAAATCAGTTCTTTTAGAATCTTATACTCCGGTTATAATATGTTATAATATGTTACAAGCGATGATATAGAATTTGTAGTTTATGTAAACAATATTCTTATTATTTTTATCATTATATTAATTTTTTGAAATTAAAATTAGTATTATGTTACACATTGGAAAGAAAAATAGTACACAGTAAAAATTTATTAATTAATTATTTACGATTTATGAAGTAATACATATTTAAAATATTAAACTTTGTCTTTACTGAATTTCACTCTACGAATGTTAATTAAATTTAACGTTCTTTCAAATATGCTTTTCTTAAATGTACACAATAAAAACAAGGTTTCTGTAGTATTTATATGTTTTTATATTGGAATCTTGTAATATTTTTGTTATTCCTCGACATTCTAATTCTTCTTTAAAAACACTTAAAAAATTACATTTTTAATTGTACATCTAAATTATTTTTAAACTTTTAAGATAAGGAGCCGTGTAAGTGCTTCACTGCAAGTATGTTGACAATTTATTGTAACGCAATGTTGGAAACGAGAGCTTCAAAATGAGTAGACACTAATCATACTGCTTGTTCGTGATTTTATTAAACAAATGCATAGAGTGAAAGACAGTATAAAAAACAAAACGCTATGAATCGCGAGCGATAAAAGTGATAGCGTACGACCGGATAACGTGGTAAATGTGGTTCCTCGGCAGATGGGAATGGTGGTGGAGGAGGGCGGCCCTTATTTCCACAGTGGTCTCACCACGTGTACCCACAGTTCCTCCCAGGATCTCACCCTAACGCCAATGCAAATGTCAATGCCAATGCCAACCATCACATGAACCAGCACCATCACCAGCACCCGCTACCGGCTGCCAGGCACTCTAGTCGCCAGCCACCCTCTAACTATTATCTCCCGAACCACCACAACAATCACTACAATCATCATCCGAATAACCATAACTATCATCGTCATCATCACTATCATCATCACAATAACAACAACCACCACCATACGCTTCAAAAGCATATCGATCAGCCCCGAAATCTCTGTCATAGAAACTCCGGTGTCGGTCTGCAAGGTAACTCGAAAACCCGAAAGTTGTTTCACGGAATGCCCGAGTTCGTTTGGCCTGATTTATTGCGCATTACTCTTGTTTATTCGTTTAACTTGCAAACTGCACGACGCTTCAATATCAACGGTGCGCAATTTTCTCGATGTTGTGTCAACGCAGTTTTCTTGATGTTGAACCAACCGACCCCTTCCCCTTGTAAAAAAGTTATTTTCTAAAGTTTTTATCTTAAAAAGTTTACATTTTACAGGCTACAAAATTTACAAGAAAAATTATTTAATTAATTTGCTTATGTTCTTTTCACTCCTCTCGCAATTATTTACATATATTAAATGTCCAATCTGACCTTTTTTTATTTATTTTTATTATATCGTTATTAAAACTGAATACTTTTATATCATTTACTTAAATTTTTCTCCAAGAGATTCGCACCGCATGCCATACACAAAACAGTTGAACTTGCAGCATATCGTTCCACAAAGAATGAACTTAATCGTCTTTTACAGCACGTGGAATATGTGTTAAAATGTATTTTCCTCATGATGAAATGCTTCTGTCTTACTAATAAGAATCAAGACACGCATGAATACGACAAATATTGTATTATTCCTTACAAGTCGATACCATGACATAAATAAAACATGCCTAATTAGTCGACGAATAATTTGCTATTATTAGCGAAGTACAGTAGCCCCTGAGTTTGACTTTTGTCCTTTTAATTCGATATATATTTATATCATTATATGTGATTTATACCGATTATGTAATATGCAAATACACAATTCAAATCTTACATATCCGATATGAATTGCATATATGTAATTCATTTTTTATAATTGCCTATTATTACTTGTTATTGTGCATTCTTTTTGCTTGTGCATTAACTTGCAAATTGCACGACGCTTGTCAATATCAATGAATCCGCGAGCAATTTTTTCGATGTTTTCTTGATGTTATACCAATGCAACCAACCGTTATCCAATAATTATATTACTCGATAAACGTAATTCAATATTTAAGGAACACCAGCTGATCTGAAAAAAAAAGATAAACATTCTTTAGCATTACATCTATACATATCAAGAATTATTTGAGTATAATAAAAAGCTTGTGTTTCTTATGATTAAGGTAATTAAAAAGTGAAAGTGTCTGTTGTGCCATAATTTATTTTGCAGCAATTTTGCGCAGCCCTTCATATGATACAAAGAAGAATGTTTTGTGTATTTTCGTTTTTAATGTACCTACACGAATGTGACATTCTGGTCTTGTACGTGTTTTACACTGACAAACTACAAATTACAATATTAACGATCATTTTGCACACCATGTGACATTATTCAATGAAACAAAATCGTTGAACGCATGTGTATGAAATCAACTGGCTTAGCATAGAGAATATCTTAATTTTTCTCCATTTCTCATACTATGTCTTAATCACGTGTTCTCAGGTAGCGGAGGTATAATGAGTCAATCAGGCTCTCAGGATGACGGCGAGTATGAAGTCATCATCGTCGACGAAAACAATTCTTCGATTTTGGCCGATCACGACGTCACATCGTCCGGTCCTCCGTCGACCAAGGTAAGTTAACTTGGCGGAAAAGTTTCCATTACTCGAAATTTCAACACGATCTGAAAAAGAGCAACGGACACTTGTCCCCTACCGAACAAATTCGAAAGAAGTGAACACCGAGAAAAATTATACCGAAAATCTCAGGTAAAAGTCTTGTAAAGTACGTCACGTATGAAACACAATCTGATAGTGACAGCATAGTATCTGATTGGTATATAAGACCGAGATGGTTTTACGAAGTAATAACAATTTTATATACTTGAGACTGCATGCATTTCGATAGATCGAGAACGTAGACACGAGATTCGATGTTTCAGTCTGTCGCTTTATACAGCTCTACGTAGCGAGTACGATATGCGGGTCTTTCTAAACGTTAAATTCAACTCCGTTTCTCTCAGTATTGTCCCGAGTACCTTTCTCTCTATGCTCGATAGCTCCAAATGATATTCACAGCAGCGAAACTTTAGCACTCTTCTTCTATCACGCACGATCTTATAGGGTATTCACCGCAGTAATGACCAGATACTTGTGCTACCGCACAATGCTTTTGCACTAATTTATTACGTAAAGTTTTTCCCTCGAACTATTAAATATACACTGTGTAATTACGATAGACAAATTCATAGATTAGATAGATTTACATGCGTTAAGACAAGGTAAACTTACATTCGCCCTTAATTGTTCATTTTAAACTGGCACAATTCTACGATTGTGACGTAATTTTATTATCTATCAGCCGTTCTTGTGACTCTTGAGTGTAGTATACTCGTTAGTTAATTTCTCCTGATACAATTACGACGATTTCGAGACCTGCCGTAGTTGACGATCTCTTGTAATGCCCAGCATGTAGTGTTCACTTATCGATTGATGTCTTGCATCTACGTAGTCCCAGCGTAACGACCGTTAGCTCAATTGTGATCTCTCGTAACTGTCTCTCGCACGTAAACATTCACAACTTATTGCGGATTCTCTGAAAATCGACATTACGCAGAGCGCGTAAACCCCAATCAGCCCGCGGAGTTCCGACACGTAATCGCACTCCCCGAAAGTTTCCAACCGTTGTATCTATCCGTAATCCTATCGAGCATGCGATACTCTGACTCTCGAATTTTTCTCATTGTTAACTTCCTCTGCTTGCATTGCTATGCGTACTAACTACTGGTTCTGAAGGGAGGTCACAGTGGTGTACCTCGGCCGCGGACTATTCTCGAGGATTACACCTCATCAGAACCAACGCTTGGCACTTCTACAAGGTCCGAACCACTGCCACGAAATCTGCAGGTAAAACTTAATTCGAGTACAGACCCGGATGTGTGGAGGACGTTGGCGGGAGCTCGATTCCCGAATTATGTCGCCGCGACCGGTCGCGTTTTGGGAGCGATCAGTACAATTTTTCGTTGTTAAAAAATTTCTCACTCCGTAAAAGTATGCGGGAGGATACGCAACGGTGCAATAATGCCCATTTGACGGGTGCAAGGAAGAGAGAGCGTTATACATCTCGATTGATATCCTTCTCGATGCTTATGTAATGTTGTTCTAATGTAAAATAGCGGTCCTTACATGCGTATAACTTTGGTCCTATCATAGAATTAACAAGTTTGCTAACGAAGCTTGAATATATGAGAAGCTTGGTTCTTTCTTTCTATAATATATTAGTTGATTGCGTAGTAGTGGTGTACTACTAATTGCATGTAATGAAGTGAGTACATGGCACGCGAGAGTATATCATGAAGTGTGATTGTATGAAATTATCCTATAAAATGTTGCTGTGATAAAATTTAGCTATAAACTTCCATTAGTCAATTACTTTAGCATCGTAGTGAGATTCCTAGGCCTGGAAATATATCTGAATAGTTTTACATAATAATTAACGACCGTTAAAAGGAATTTCTTGTTGATCCAACAAAATTCAGTAATGCGACGAGATAAAACAAAAAAGCCTTAAATTCTATCATTTACATGACGGGTAGAAAAAGAATAATTTATCTCGCGATAAAAATATATAAATTTCCCGTTTCACGTATTTTACAATCGATACATTCTGTTTGAAATGCCTCAATATTTTTCGAACAATTTACGATCGATTTCAATCCGAGTAGGCAAAAAGACTCCGATATTTCATTCCTCCCTTTATTCTGCTCGACTTTCTCCCAGAGCAATGACTCCAGCGAGGAGACGGTACATCGCAGCAACATCACCGCGGACCCAAGTCCTTCTGAAGTTACCACGGACAACGAAAACAAGCATAATTCGTCCGAAGAAGCCTGGACGGACGTGAACCTTAACGAAGACGGCGATACGATGCCTATTACAAATCCAAGAGAAGACCCGCGAAACATTCACAACATTGCACACTCGCGTGGTAAGCGTCAAGTCAAGCTGCGGCAATGTCGCCCAATGTGACTGGCGATCAATCTTGCTAGAAGACTTCTTATCAATCTGGTATATAAAACGCGAAACGTATTCTGAAACACACAGGCGACATGCAAGACAGCGAGGGCAACGTTCTGGAACAGGAGATGCTCGGCAACACGGAACGCGGGGAGAAACCGTCGGCGGAGATCTCTGTGGTGCGGGTTCCCGATCGATTAGTGGTAACCGCAGCATCCCCGAGGGCCGACGAGTTGCCGATCAAAGGTCTGGTCGATCATTTACCCGTACCGACACCTTCCCGCGAGGCCTCTCTCACGCAAAAGCTGGAAATGGCTTTGGGTTCGGTTTGCCCCCTCCTCCGAGAGATCATGGTGGACTTTGCTCCCTTCCTGTCCAAAACACTTGTTGGCTCCCATGGTCAAGAATTGTTAATGGAAGGAAAAGGTACGAGCTGCAAGGGTACGTCGAGCGTACGGTCATTCTTCTGTGTCTCTGTGTCTGTGTGCATGTTGTATATAAATCCGTTAAGGAAACATTTATTACGAGCAAGCCGGGGAAAAAGTCCCCCTTCGAGTATCATTTGATGATTTTAGAACAGTCTCTATATAAATTGCACTATAAATACACCGCGGTTTTATTATGTACGCGCTTATAAAATGAGATGTAAAAGGAAATCACGGCTCACATTCCGCATTTTACGCGCGCGCGCGCGGTATGATGTAGAATGTCCGAGGCTCGATAAATGAAAAGGATATATTTCACGTTAGATTTTATTACGTGGAGAACAGTCGTAACATGGTCTATGTTTTCTAAGCGATGTCGAGATATATCACGCCCACGGATAAAAAAAGGGTCATAAAGGATTAAGGAACTAAATTTCAGCTAGCTTCGCGTAGGCACGACTTTTTCCGACACGATAAATAAAATTATTCTCCATATTGTTATTTCCGTATCATATTTTATTGCGGTAAAACGTTTATCGTAAATATACTGCCGTGCTTATGTTTTTATTGATCATTTAATACAATAATTCAATCGTTTTATTTTTTTTTAAATATTGCACACTATCTCGTGACTAAATTGACTATTTGATTTGAAACCGCGTGTCTGGCAAACGAAACGCTTGTCATTCAATATTTCGAAATGGATGTATTGTATTATGGGCGCTTTAAGAGATGAAATAGCGATCGTAAAAATAAAAGTTCAACAATGTTGTAAAATATTTCGATGTTGCAAAATATGCCCGCGCGACAAACAAAACTTTCGAGTCTATTTAAGTGGGCACACTCGGCGGGGCTTTCGTCACTTTATGGTCCCTGGTATTTCACACATCGGGTATTCAAATTAGTCACTTTATGATTTCGCTTTAGGAGGATGGCCAGCGTATTCCGAGTAATCGCTCACCATTAGTATTCAGCATACGTGTAGAGACCGCGATGATTCTCGCAGATTTTATATTCAGGGAACGCGCACGGCGTTTGACGGCGAACCTGCAACGTATCGATGTACTTTATTTTTAACAATACCCGCGATACCGAGCGAACGTTCCCCGTAGAAGCACGACATTGTTCGTTTCTTCCGTTCTACGTCGCTGTCAGTCATTGTTATTCGCCGTTTATCGTTCGCTGGTTTAACGATTCTCCGTCTGTAATTTGCCAGGTTTAACCACGTTTAAGAACAGCAACTCCGTTGTGGAATTGGTTATGCTCCTCTGCTCCCAGGAATGGCAAAACTCCTTGCAAAAGCACGCGGGTCTCGCTTTCATCGAGCTCATTAACGAGGGAAGGTAAGACGTTTATTATACGGCTAGAACACGCGCAAACAAAACGAAATCAAACATTCTCGTTTCCCCTCGTGAAAATGCTTCCTTACGTTACACAGGTTGCTATCTCACGCGATGAAGGATCACATAGTAAGAGTCGCAAACGAGGCAGAATTCATTTTAAACAGGATGAGAGCGGATGACGTGCTGAAGCATGCTGACTTTGAGGTATTGCGTGCATTTCTTCCGGCGATTTCGTTGCCCCCGTAAATAGTACCGGCCAGTTTTTGTCGCCAGAACGTTTTCGCGAGTCATCTAATACTGATATACAATAATCTCCCCCCCCTTCCTGCTCAAATATACCGCCTTATCTCTACATCGTAGTAATTAGAAGAAAATGTATTGATAACACGTTCTTTTTCAACGCGCATTTAGTCGCAATGCGCGCAGACATTGGTGGACCGTCGGGAAGAAGAACGCATGTGCGATCACCTAATCACCGCGGCGCGAAGACGCGACAATGTTATCGCTAGCAGACTGCTGGAGAAAGTTCGAAATATCTTGTCCAACAAGCACGGCGCGTGGGGATACATGGATCCAATGGCTGCAAAGTGAGTGCGAGCGCAATTAATTTGGAATATCGCATCCCGTGATGGACAATCGCATTTTCATATCTTGTCGTCGTTGTTTGCAGATTGGCCGAATACTGGAAGCTGGATGCTTGGGAGGATGATGCACGTAGACGCAAGCGTTTCGTGCACAATCCACTAGGCTCGAGCCACCCCGAGGCTACTCTCAAGGCGGCTCTAGAACACGGTGCACCCGAGGATGCGATACTTCAAGCGCGTGAAGAGTTTCACGCGCATCTCGCAGCCTCGCGTGCACACCAACAGCAATTGCAGTCGGCGGATCTTATGGATGACAGTGAATTGCTGTCGGACGACAGGGATCTTGACAACGACCTGACAGGTTGGTTGGCGTTCCGCTGCCTGATAAACGAGACGCGACATTTTAATGGCGTATTACGAGCCCACGTAAACCGGTTTTATTTTCGTCAATTTCCGCGCTCGCAATCTCGTTGAGTTTGTTATTTAAGTATCGGTCGTCAATTGTTATTTGTTATTTTAATCTTTCGCGTTTAATTTCCAATTTCTATGCGCCGTACATTACAGAAGTGGCACGCTACCGATAATTTGTTGTAGCGCGCGCGCGCGAGTTTAAGGTAAAATGGGAAAGACTCGTTCACGGCTTTTTTTTATAGTTAAATAAAAAGAGCTGCACGCGCAGGCGACATGTTATTATTGTTTTATTGCGTTGCTGTTTACACGCACGCAGACTGATTATTCACGTTTTATCAGGTCCGGTGAACATTAGCACGAAAGGCAGATTAATTGCACCCGGTATCGTGGCGCCCGGCATCATTTCCGTTACATCTACAGAACTGTATTTCGAGGTGGACGAGGACGATCCGGAATTTAAGAAAATCGACAGCGAGGTGAGTACCCTAGAAGCTAAAATACGCGCGATGGACGCACGGTAAAGAGACACATAATTGAATATGCGCCTCTGTCGCGATACGCGTTATTTATATAATTTTCGATAATTAGTTGCCTTATCTGTTCTTTTCACCGTTAAGATGGAATATATGTATTCAGGACATTCGCGGTGTTATCTGTTCGAAAAGCAGTCGTTAGTTGTCTTGGTGATAAAACTGTTTTTCACTGAAAAACGCGAGTCGTCGAGAAAGGGACCAAAGTTAAATTTACACTCTAGCATGTTTTCCGCGAAGCTAAAGGAGCTAAAAAGCCTGCCTTTAAATAATGTAAGGCCGGCTAAGCGTACGATATGATAAAGGCGCTAATTCCGCGACGCGTTCATTTACATTATTTTGCAGTTGCGTATCCTATTATCTTTTTTCTAACTTGACCGGCTCTTCCAACTCGCCTCTATCGTCTATCGCGAAGCGCATCTTTATCAGCGCGTGCATTAACACTGCGGCTACAGCTTAAAAATGTGTGCGGTAATAGCGATGCCCATTATTTACATATTAAATGTTTGGGGCAATATTTTACGCTGCCCTCTCTTAAACTGACGAACGCGAGAGCCTAAGGTAGCCGCTCATAACGAAGAGTATCAATCATTTCAGCCGTCGTGGAATTTGAATAAGTGTGCGTCATAAATGATGAGACGTGGCGAAAGCTTCCACGGCACCGCTGGTGGAGGCAGATTCTGGCTAGAATTAGTTCGGACGTGTCCCTGTCTATCAGTGTCCATAAGGCACCCTACATTCGTGAAGCTTGCACAATCGGGAGAAAAAAAAAGTAGGATGGAAAGCCGAGGTAGAGCCGAGAGGCGAAGCCGATGAGAGAAGGAGAGAGAGCGGATGAGAGAGAAAGGCAAACTGGAAGAACTAGAAAGACGATTATCATATATCGGTCGTAGATCTTGCGTTTGTATAACTAGGGAATAAAACAAACAGAGGAGGGCCCCATGGGGTCGACCGATCTTCAGGGTCGGCAATTATGAGCCCCCCGCGGGGTTCGGTATCTGCCTGCCCCACTCTTCCGTCTCTCTTGCTCTCCCTATCTTCCATCGCCACGCACTAACTACGCATATCGGTGGCATAGGTGAACCAGGCTTCTCTCGCAGGAATGCACAGAAACTACCGCGTTTTCCCACCTAGCCGATGAACATCGCGCGGTGCAGTCGTGTATCCGGCGCGACGTGTCGTACAAGTAAAACGGAGTCTGCGTAGCGATAAAAATACGTAATTTTACTCGACAGGCCCGATCTTACGAGTTACAGATAGCGTCCTTTTTATTAAATTGTTTATTATAACAGCAAACCTTTCCATTGTCTACGAATTTACGGTATCACGAATTTTATCAATACCGTAGGATCAGTCTCTTTTAATGTCCGCTGGCATCTCTCGTTAGCCGATAAATAAAATCTATTCAGTGTCCTCGGCGCGAGAGGGTCTCGGCAATCGCTCGCCGACGATCGTATCTCGAGAGAGTGTTTCCCGGGGGTATATGCCCAAGGATTTCGCAGTGTCCACCTGTCGTCCCCGTTACATCTCGGCCGAGACAGACTTGCCCCGTGAATAGGACGCACGAACTCATTCGGGCTCTCTTAATTGGAATTCTTTTTAAGAAGGAACGCTGAGCGCACCTGGAAGCGAGTAGGGAAAGAGCGCGAGAAGGGGTGAGAGAGAGAAACAGTCGGAGAGTTAGAAGCGGGAAGAAGAGGGAAGCTGAGACGAGGACAGCGAGGAGAGAGAGAAAGAGAGATAGAGAAGGCCGGTCGTTCACGATCGAGACACGCTCATTAGTCGAGGATGTCCCGAGGGTAGGCGGGAGGCTTCGTCGAATTCGTAGGCGATGGATCACTCGATAGTCGAGCCGAGACTTAAGCGATCGTAATGCGCGGCCGCAGAAGAGGACGACCGGGAGTGGCCCCAGGGAGGGACTGCATATCGGGCCGCGCGCCGCTGCACCCTTTTGCGCGTATCTCCTCACGAGCCTCCTCCACGCCGATTGCGCCGATTCCTCCCCCTCTTCCTCCTCCGCCTTTTATAATGGCCCAGGCAAACGTATTTATCGTGATTTATCGTTTACACGGGTCTTTCCTTTCTCTCCCGCCCCACCGTTCCCCTTCTGTCTGTCTCTCTCCCTCTTTTTTCTTTTCCTCCCTCCCCCCTCCCTCTCTCTCTCTCTGTTCCGCAACGTCGTATGTTAAGGATAGAAGGATGCACACACCGTGCGATTACGTCGAGAATGAATTATTGATAGTCCGCGCGGGGCATTAATATCTAAAACAAATAATCAACGGTGTACGGCCACACTCGCGAATGTACGTTTTCGTCTCTAATTCGATGGAGTGCCCGCGCCCTCTCCTCCACTGCAGTTGAAATACCGGAGCGCAATGTCCCGCAGCCATTCGCAAATTAACAGTTATTTATACTGCGTATCATATGTGAGATTTATGCCATATAATTGCTCATAATGATACGTAATAACGACGCGCTGTCGTCGCGATTTGCATACGCTGAAAATTGAGTCGCCACTCGGGCTATTCTTAGAGACAGCGAAACGCGAGGCAAAGTCGTAAAATAATAATCGATTTCCTGCGTTTCTTATTAACATTCACCGTACGAGCTCGGGGGCCGTAAGCGCGTATTCTATTTATAAGACGTAAACATAATGTACTCGAATAATGCGCGACGAAAAGTCGACGCCGCCATTAAAGTGCAAGTACATGTTGTTAAATGTTAATGCGCCATGCGCGCGACAATCTTGCAAAAGTTAATCGTTAACTCTGGTCTTTACGTCTTTTTACACGCGGGCTTTGCATTTCGGAGGAGAAAAGCAGATCGGCTTTCAAGTAAACCTAACTGTTGCTTCGGCGTCGAGAGGGTAGGTCGCACGGGACATTAAACTCCGCCGCGTCGCGGTGGATCGAGCGACTCGCATTTTTATGGAAACCTGCTCTGTGGCGCCTAAAGTTCCCCCCTTCCCGCGGTATAGTTATCGCAGGCACATGCTGCGAATATCCCCGTGGGATGCCCATGCTGTGCGAGCGAAAGAGAGGGAGAAAGAGGCACAGCGTGGAAATGGGAGAAAGAGGGCCGGGGGATACCAACCGGACAGGTGGTCCGTGCCGTGCGTTGGTGCTCATTCGCGACGAAGATACCATTAACGAGGGATATAGCGCCGTGAAAAATCCGAGACATCGAGCCGTTTATCAACGGTCGCAAATAGAAACTGCCTCGTAGATCATGCGGTGCCGGCGATTTCCAGGTTCGTAGTTGGAGGCATCGCTGCGACTCGCTGCGCGCGCTCCGCGATTATTAATACCGCCCGTTATTATTCATATCGTAAACACACATTGTGCGCGATTGTGTAACGTAACCGATACGGATCTCGCCGCGAGACAGCGATACGAAAGAACTTTCCGTTTGTATATAGAGGACTTAAACGAGGATGACAGGAGGGCGGACTGTGACCGAGCACCGGTTTAATGTTATTCGATTACGGCCTTCTTAGGCGATGCATATGCATGACATCGGTGTAATGTAGTGCGAGTGACGTTATAATAATGCGACTGTAATTATTCCCCGCGCCCCCGGTATCGCGGTATCTCGGCGCTGGCGGTACAAAGATTGTCCACCTCGCTTTAACCGCCGTGCCGTCGAACGCGCGACCGTATCTTATCGCAATTATTCCGCCGCATTATCCTTGCATCTCGCGACTATAAACGCACGTCGATAAATAATAAAGCCTGTCAGCTACACTTGCGGTCAGACTGCCGTGCGCGGACGGTGCCTTCCACGATAAAGAGGCTTTTCCTCTGCCCGCGTGCGCGGATGCGTCTGCGCTCGCTCTTTGAGTTATGCCCCGTGAATTCCGGAATAATAACTCTCGTCGGGTTTGATGAATAAGCGTATAACTCTCTCGATCGGATCTAATACCGTCTGCCCGCGTATATATCACTGGCGTTTATTATTAAATAAAAATGGCCCAGCCGAGAGGGAATAATTATTCTTCCGACGGTTTCACCGCGCGTTTTCTGCCAAAGGGGGAGTCAAGGTGCTCCGGGGATCAAGGTGCGCGCGTATCGGCGCGGATTTGCATATCCCGCATAATTTAATCGATCCACAATTTCGATGGGATTCGATATTGTCGATGGCCAGGTAGCCAATGACCAGGGGGCAGTCTGCGCGAAAAGGATGCAGTTAGTTTGGTAAACATCCATCAATTCGTGGGCAGGGCAGCGCGAGGCAGAACGGGGCAGAACCTGAAGAGCCCAGGCAAGCTGGAAGGAGCAGGCGGGCTCATTCTCAACAAGGCAGGGGTAATCACTGCTATTAGTGCGGACATTACTCCGGTGGTCCGCCAATCTCCGTAACACTCCATCATATCGGTGCCCCAAGGCTCCTCAGTGGTGTAGAAAATAGATTTTCCCGCGGACTCGAATCGCGCGCCACGTTTTGCACCCGTCGAGCCGCTCTTCGTCGGAAACAATGACTATCCGAATAATTGCGATCGGCGCTGCGGCAACTGCCGCTCGGATCCTCGTCGCAATTTTCGCGCGAAAGTCCGCGTGTCGTAATTATTTTCTCGCCTCCGTCGTTTCTCAGGACAGTTGGAGCTTTAATCGGCCACGTGCTTTAACGCACTACGGAAGTCGAGACGTGTCATCCCAATCTATAGGTGCCAACGGCCAATGATCGTCTCTCTTGCTGTAGCGAACGGTCCTCCTCGCGGTGCCGGGGTCTTCCTTCGGCGGTCGTTATAGGCGTGACGACCGATTATCCTCGAAAGGAATGATGATGGATATCGTAGGCAACTGTCTCGTGCCACATCAGTTCTGTCAGCAACCGCAGGTAGGCGGGAAGCTTGTGGGTGTATCCGTTCTGTAGATACGCGAACCCAGCACGGTGTTAAGAGTTTGCTCCGAGGTATACGCATATACCACGTGTCCCGAGTGAAACGC